AGGAAAAAACAACCCTCAGAAGGCGGTCCGGCCAGGGCCAGGGAGGGGGCTGAGGCTTTGCCTCATTGCCACCTCCATCCTTGAGGCCCCGGTTCCAATCAGGACACACACCCCCGTCGCCTAGGTTACTGCCTGGCTCAGCTGCGGTTCTCTCACTGTGATCTTGGACAGACAGACAACTCAGCCCTCTAGGCCCGGATTCAGTTCAGTTCAGTTGCTCAGTCCTGTCCGACTCTGCAACCCCACTGACTGCAGCAGGCCAGGCCTCCCCGTCCATCACCAACTCCCAGAGACTACTCAGACTCATGTCTATCACATCGGTGATACCATCCAACCATTTCATCCTCTGTTGGCCCCTTCTCCTCCTGCCTTCAATCTTTCCCAGCATCAGGGTCTTTTCAAATGAGTCAGTTTTTCCCATCAGGTGGCCAAAGTATTGGAGTTTCAGCTTCAGCATCAGTCCTTCCACTGAATGTTCAGGACTGATTTCCTTTAGGATGGACTGGTTGGATCTCCTTGCAGTCCAAGGGACTCTCAAGAGTCCTCTCCAACACCACAGTTCAAAAGCATCAATTGTTTGGTGCTCAGCTTTCTTTATAGTCCAACTCTCACATCCATACACGACTATTGAGAGAACCATAGCCTTGACTAGATGGACCTTTGTTGGTAAAGTAATGTCTCTGCTTTTTAATATGCTGTCTAGGTTGGTCATAGCTTTTCTTCCAAGGAGCATCTTTTCATTTCATNTCTTTTAATTTCATGGCTGCAGTCACCATCTGCAGTGATTTTGGAGTCCCCAAAAATAAAGTCTGTCACTGTTTCCACTGTTTCCCCATCTATTTGCCATGAAGAGTTGGGACTGGATGCCATGATCTTAGTTTTCAGAATGTTGTCTTAAACTTTATTTAATACAGAGTTGAGAATTGATAGCATTGAAGTGGCCCTTAACATATGGGCTTGAATAATAACTCCCTCCCTTTATTTATAGAAAATGCTGATTCAATTGCTATTGCATTAAACTTCTAAATCATGAACCCAATATGGAGCATTATGGCTTATTAATTTTAATTCAATCCCTTTCACTTTTGATGAATAATACAACTTCTTGCCTACTCTAAGACACATAAAACAGAATCTGAAAATACTACAACAGTGAAGTTTAATTCTTATATTTTATCAGATATTTTCTTAATTTATATTTCCCCTTCATTTATTTTCCTTTGTTCATTTATCTTTCTAATACTGTTGAATGGAGTTTTAAAGTATTCTAAAATTGGTGCTTCAGTCAAAATCTGTGCTTCTTTCAGCTAATGCTTCACATGTACAACTTTCTAAACTAGCATCCTTTTGCTTCAACTGTCACATTTTAAAATAAATTAGAGACTCACCATCCACTGGCTATTGAAGTTCATGAATTAATTGACTTGAATGTTTTGGCTTTCTTTGATCTAAGCTATTTTCTCTGTAACACTGTGATTTACCTGACATTAAAGGGCAAACTGAGCAGTGAGTTTCTGGAACTATATTCCTAAAAAAACAGCACCAGTATACCAGTGAATGGCATTAATTGCACTTGGGATATTTATATAGAAGGAAGATGCTAATATAACATTTCTACTATATATCAAGTGTCAGATATTATAATCAGTGCTATTTCAATGGACAACATGATCATTTGGCTCTATTCAAAGGATGTCTGACTCTAGGTGAGTGATCACACCATCGTGATTATCTGGGTCATGAAGATCTTTTTTGTATAGTTCTTCTGTGTATTCTTGCCACCTCTTCTTAATATCTTCTGCTTCTGTTAAGTCCATACCATTTCTGTCCTTTATTGTGCCCATCTTTGCATGAAATGTTGCCTTGGTATCTCTAATTTTCTTGAAGAGATTTCTAGTCTTTCCCATTCTACTGTTTTCCTCTAGTTCATTGCACTGATCACTGAGGAAGGCTTTCTTATCTCTCCTTGCTATTCTTTGGAACTCTGCATTCAAATGAGTATATCTTTCCTTTTCTCCTTTTCTTTTCACTTCTCTTCTTTTCACAGCTATTTGTAAAGCCTCCTCAGACAGCCATTTTGCTTTTTGCATTTCTTTTTCTTGAGGATGGATACAATGTCATGAACCTCCATCCATAGTCCTTCAGACACTCAGATCTAATCCCTTGAATCTATTTGTCACTTCCACTGTATAAGATAAGGGATTTGATTTAGGTCATACCTGAATGATCTAGTGGTTTCCCCTACTTTCTTCAATTTAAGTCTGAATTTGGCAATAAGGAGTTCATGGTCTGAGCCACAGTCAGCTCCCAGTCTTGTTTTTGCTGACTGTATAGCACTTGTCCATCCATCTTTGGCTGCAAAGACTATCATCTATCTGATTTCGGTGTTGACCACCTGGTGACATCCACATGTAGAGTCTTCTCTTGTGTTGCTGGAAGAGCGTGTTTGCTCTGACCAGTGTGTTCTCTTGGCAAAATTCTGTTAGCCTTTGATCTGCTTTGTTTTGTACTCCAAGGCCAAATTTGCCTGTTGCTCCAGGTAGCTCTTGACTTCCTACTTTTGCATTCTAGTCCCCTATAATGAAGAAGACACCCTTTTAGGATGTTAGCTCTAGAAGGTCTTGTAGGTCTTCATAGAACCATTCAACTTCAGCTTCTTCAGCATTACTGGTCGAGGCATAGACTTGGATTACCATGATACTGAATGGTTTGCCTTGGAAACGAACAGAGATCATTCTGTCATTTTTGAGATTGCATCCAAGTACTGCATTTTGGACCCTTTTGTGCTATGATGTCTACTCCATTTCTTCTAAGGGATTCTTGCCCACAGTTGTAGATATAATGGCCATCTGAGTTAAGTTCATCCATTCCAGTCCATTTTAGTTCTCTGAGTCCTAAAATGTCAATGTTCACTCTTGCCACCTCCTGTTTGACCACTTCCCCTGCCATAAAACACAGAGATTGGGCAGGGCACAGGCTAGGCGCGGTACTTAGCACTTTTGCTCATCTGACCCTCGTGACCAGGTAAGATCTCAATCATCTTGTTGCCCCTCACTCCAGTCACTCCTGACCACCTGAATCTGTGGCTTTATTCACCTGTGAGATCCCCATGGACACCTGTGGAAATTCCAGCTGTAGGTCAAGGCTTAGCTGAAAGTCACCTCCTCCAGGATTTCTCCCTGCTTAGCTGCCCTTTGCTCCATCCCTTCACCTGAAGGGTCCTCTTGCTGCCACAGGTATAATCAGGTGGACCTCACCCACTCCAGCCTGAGGCTCCCCCAACCTGGGGGCTTTTCTCAATCATCTTTCTCCCTCCTCACCAGGCCCAGTGAGGGGCCAGACAGGTGTGATTCACAATGCCTGCTCTGAGTTTGGTTCTCCTGACTTCAAGCCCTGTGTTGTAGACAGAATAATGCCCCCACCCCAAAGATGTCCACGTCCTAATCTCTGGAACCTGAGAATATGTTACTTTACATGGCAAAGAGAGTTTGCAGGGACTTCCCTAGGGGTCCAGTGGCTGATACTCTGTGCTTCCAATGCAGGGGACCAGGGTTCGATTGCTGGTCAGGGAACTAGATCCCACATGCTGCAACTAAAACTGGGAGCAGCCAAATAAATAATTTTTAAAAAAATTTTAAGAAGAGAGTTTGCAGATGATAAAGAACTTCAGAGGGGGAGGTTATCATGGGTTATCTGGGTCATCACAAGTGTCCTTATACAGTGGAGGCAGGAAGGTCAAAGTTAGAGAAGGAGGTATGATGCAGAAGCAGAGATCGAGGTGATGAAGGAATTCAGGTGGCTTCTAGAAGCTGGAAAGGGCAAGGAAGCAAGTCTCCAGCCCTGCCAACCCTTTTGAGACTTCTGACCCCAAGAACATCTGTGATGATTAAGCCACTGAGTTTGTGGTGATGCTACCGCAGCCGCAGGCAATGAAAATACACTGGCTCAGCTTCTTACCCGTCATGTGACTCTGGGCGACTTAACCTCTCTTTGACTCAGTTTTCTCATGATAGTGATAAAGGCAAAAATTCCTACCTCACAAGGTTATTGTGATGATAAAATGAAAATACTTGTAAGTCACTTTGAATAGTGCCAGAGACTAAGTATGTTAGCTATTCATTGCTGCCTAATAGGTACCAGGCACAGGGTCCGATGCTTTAGAATAATTTCCTCCATTCTCACTACCACCCTTGGGAGTGACTATTTCAATCCCCATTTTACACATAAGGAAACAAACCCAGAGTAATTTGCCTGTCATCACTCTAGGACTGGAAGCATTTTTGTCCTCGCAGTTTCTCACATGCACTTGGGAGACTCTTTACCTACAGAGGATTAGTTTTTATTTTTATTATTATTATTTATTTTTGGAGGTGAGCAGAGGGTGAAGCAGAGGCTGTGCAGGCCACTCTGGGCCAGAGGTCCTGGCTGCCCGCCATACTTGATGCAGGGAGATAAAATCCGAGTGAAACTCACCAATGCGCCCTCCTCCCCCCACAACCCGTCCCTTCAGGAGGTCCGGTTACTGCCCCCCGGCTTCATCACTCACCGCCCAACTCCGCCCAGTTCTAATAGCCCTTAAGCCAGACTCGGGGGGACACCAGGAGACACAGCCAGAGAGCCAGGTGCCTGACCGCTGAGAGATGGAGGGCAGACTTGCCCAGACCCCAGGGGTACCCGTGGAGCCCCCTTCCCACCGTCTGCATAAGGAGCCATCTGTTCTCGGCTGAATGAACCAGCGGGGGGAAGCAGCTCGCAGTCCCCTGCCCCCCGGCCCGACCCCCGCACAATGCGCCTTTCTCCGAGGAGACGCCGCCCGGGCGCCGCCGGAGCGCGCTCCGTCTGGCCTCCCCTCCCCCTGGCGGCACAGCAAGACACACACACCGACCCCGTGGAAACCAGATTTTTTTTTTTTTTTTCCTTTTTTTAAGAAAAAGAAAACAAAAAAAGAAATCCTACAAAGAACTGAGCGCGGCACGCGTCTTCCACATCCCCTCCCCCGACCCCTCCCCGCAGTCCGACTTCTGGTCCCGGCGAGCCCAGCTCAAGCGCAGCGCTGGGAGCCCGCCAGCGCCTCCCCCGCGACAGCCCAGGCCTGGGAGGACCCAGGTTCTCTCCGGGCCCGGCGCCCCGACGGCGCCCCCGGAGCGGGGGTAGAGGGCTGCGGCTGTCCGCGGGGCCGCGTTCCTTGCCCGGGTCCCGGCCACCAGCGGCCCTCACTTCTGGGTAGCCAGCTGGTTCTCCAGATCCTCCAGGCGTGCGGTCAGCTGGGCCAGTGAGAGGTTAAGGAAGCCTCCGGGGCTCGCGGAGTTCCCTACGTCTCCCCGCCGGCCAGCGCCCCGGGACCCAAAGGATATGCTTCTGCGACAGACTCTCGAGCGCCCCCAGCGTGCGGCCCTGGAACTCCACGAGGCTTTCGCATTCGCAGGGGCTCCGAAGCTCTGTCCCCGCGCCGATGCCCTCCTCTGCCAGAGGGGCACAGAGAGTCGGGGGAGTGAGAAGCTGCAGGAGGACCAGCTGGCCCTGGCCGAGGCCCCCTGATATCCCTCCACCCCGCCTGCGGCTGAGTGCACCGGTTTGAGATCCAGACAGACCTGGGATGAGTCCCAGCTAGATAGCTGTGAGATACTGGAAAACCCATTCAACCTTTCTAAGCCGTGGATTCATTGTCTATCAGAATGGATACAATGAGAAAACCTATTCCTTGGGCGGTGCGGAGGACTCCATGATTTTCATGTGTGTCTTATGTGGGTACCCATCGCAGAAGGTTTCTGAAACTTTGGTGCTCATTGGACTCACTAGGAGATCTTGTTAAAATATAGATTCTTGAACTACCCTGGTGGTACAGTGGATAACAATCTGCCTGCCGATGCAGGGGACTCGGGTCCAATCCCTGGTCCAGGAAGATTCCACATGCCCCGGAGCAACTAAGCCTGTGAACACAATTAACGCGTCTTTGTGCCACAACTACTGAAGCCAGTGCACCCTAGAGCCAGCAAGCTGCAACTACTGAGCCGACGGGCTGCAAGAACCACCGAAGCCTGAGCGCCTAGAGCCTGTGCTCTGCATCAAGAGAAACCACTGCAATGAGAGGCCTGCGCGTGGTGACTGGAGAGTAGCCCCTGCTTTCCACAACTGGAGAAAGACTGGATGCAGTAAAAACAAAATCAGCACAGCCAAAAACCAAAATACAGATAGATAAAGAGACAGAGATATAGATAGATAGATGATAGATAGATAGACTCTTATTCTTAACGGGAAAGGAGCAGAGATGCTGTATTTCTAGTAAGCTCCCAAGTGGTACTGATGCTGCTGGTCCCTGGACCACACTTTTGAGTAGCAAGAGTCGACAGAAACATGGTCCAAATGAAACTTTATGCGGTGACAGTAGCATCTGTCAGTGTGATAGCACACAGATGGCCATTTAACACTTGAAATGTGGTTAGTGTGATTGAGGAAGTGAATTATTTAGTTTAAGTTAAATGGGAATATGTTGCTAGTGGCTAGTTTATTGGAGGGTGAAACGCTGGAACTGACACAAGTAAACACTTTATACTGGATTTCAACTAGGCCAATGGTTCCCTAGGTCCACGAGTCAAGGTAAATTGGAAGTGGCCAAAAAGGAGATGGCAAGAGGGAACACTGATGTTTTAGGAATCAGTGGTTCTCTGGACCAGCAGCATTAGCATCACCTAGGAAGTTATTAGAAATGCAAATGATCAGATTCCACTGCAGACCTACTGCATCAGAAACTCTGGGGTTGGAGACAACAATCTGTCTTTTAACAAACCCTCCAGGTGCATCTGATGCACACTAATGTTTAAGGACCACTGATTCAAGTCTATCTCCTCACACATTTCAACATCTCTGAAATCAAAATAGGTGCCTTACAGTTAAATCCGGCATCTTTTTTTTTTCTTAGCAGTATAGAAAATAATAGTGAATCTTACAATGGATGGTGTCTAAGATTCACTAAATTTTGTAAATGTGTGCCATTTTGAATACTACAGCACAATGCCTGGCACTTGGCTTTCAATACAGAGTTGCTATTATGATTTAAAAATTATATCTTAGTCTTGTATGTACCCTTAGCAAACTGTTGTATGTCATGTCATCAGTGGTATTGATAACAGCCCCAGAATGGCTCCTAACTTTGCAGGTGGAGAAACCAAGGGCCAGAGAGAGAGAGGAGGATCTACCCAAGGTTATCCTTCATTGGTTGGTGAAGATCCTCAATCACAGAGGCCAGATGTCTGTTAGAATTCTAGAACTAGAGGCAACCTGGGGCAGCCAGCACCCTGCCCTATCACGGAAGAGGAAAGGTAAGGGAGAGGTGGGGGTTAAGTGACTTGCCCAAAGACACGCTGCAGGGGACATAAGAGTTAGGGACTTCCCTGATGGTCCAGTTGCTAAGGCTCCATGCTCCCAATGCAGGGGACCTGGGTTTGATCCCTGGTCAGGGAATTAGATCCCACAGGCAACAACTAAGAGTTCCCATGCTGCAATTAAAGATCCTGCATGCTGCAACTAAGACCCGGCACAGCCAAATAAATAAATGAATAAAAGAGGACAGGAAGGGCCCTGAAGGAGAAGTTAATCCAGTGTTTCCATAATATCCTCGCTAATTATTAGAATTAGCCTGGAGAGAGGGAGAGGAAGAAATGTGTGTGTGTGTGTGTGTGTGTGCATATATATACATATATATGTATATATACATATATATAGAGAGATTTTAAACATATATTCTCCAGGCCCAGCATAGCCCTACTGAACCTAGCTCTGGAGTGGGGCCTGTTTATCTGAAATAAGTGTCACACTGTAGGCCTGGGTTACAGTCTAAAGACTCTATGGTTGAAAAAACAAAACAAAACCCTGAGAAATTCCCTGTATTACCTATAAAGGTACTTGTACACAAAGTTCAAGCCCATCCTCCCTCCACAAATAGAATTAGTCCCCTTTTCCTTAGCTGAGCACCAGATGAAACAGATGGATTGAATTTATGGGATATATACATTTAATATGGGGCCTCCCAGATGGTGCTGGTGGTAAAGAATCCGCCTGCCAATGCAAGAGACAGCAAGAGATGTGGGTTCCATCCCTGGGCCGGCAAGATCCCCTGGAGGAGGAAATGGCAACCCACTCCAGTATTCTTGCCCCGACAATCGCATGGACCGAAGAGCCTGGCAGGTTATAGTCTATAGGGTTACAAAGAGTTGGACACGACTGAGCGACTAAGCACACATATATTTAATACACATCTTTGTGTACTTGAGACACGCCCAGTCCTGCCCCTTTCCCAGGTCTGTGAAGCTGAATTCCAGCAAGATAAAGGGACTTATGATGTGGTTCCCCTTACGAAGGCTGAACTGGGCGTGCCTTTGAAAAACTCCACCCCCCAAATTATTCTGAACTCCCAGCTAATTTGGGCAACAGATCGCTTAGAATTGTGCTTCTTAAACTTAGTACTAATTCCCTGAGGATCTTGTCAGAGTGCAACATTGGATTCAGTAGGTCTGGAGAGCGCTGAAAACGCTGCAGTCTTAACAGATTACCAGGCGACAGCCCTGCCGACGGTCCAGGGACCACACTTGAGTAAGGAGGCTCGGTCCAGCCAGCCCATTCCCCGGCTGTCACTCAGCGAAGGGGGCGGGAGCGAATAGGACCCGGAGGTCTCGGAGCATGCGCGGTGAGAGAAGGGGCGGGGTCCCGAGACGGCTGCGCTCACCCGGGCAGATGCTGCCTTTGAGGTTCTCCAGCAGGTGCGTCATGGTGCTGAAGTCCGGGGAGTAGGACACGTGCAGCTCGGCTGGCTCCGAGGCGATCTCTCGCAGTTCTTCCTCCACCGCCTTGCCCACGCCCACGGCGTACATGACGATGCCTGCGGGGTCGGGGGAACAGAGGGGGCGCCCTGGGCTTCAGGAAAGCTTCCTCCCCTCGTCAAACCCAACCTCAGGTCAGCCCGGCCCTCGCCAAGCCCACCTTCCTCCTTGGCTCGCGCCGCCCACACGGAGATGTTATCCTGGGAGCGGCCGTCGGTGAAGACCAAGCCCACGCGGGGCACGTTGAGCGCCCGGGGCCGCGCGCCCTGCGCCTCGGAGAAGCTGTGCTCCACCATATGGCGCAGGGCCAGCCCGGTCATGGTGCCGCGCTCCATGTACTCCACGGCCAGGACCGCCTGCTTCACCTCGGCCGCCGTGCCGTAGCGGCCCAGCGGGAACTCGGTGCGCACGCGGCTGGAGAACTGCACTAGCCCCACGCGCGTGCCCTCGGGGGACACGTCCAGGAAGTCCACGATCTGGTTCACGAAGCGTTTCACCAGCTCGAAGTTCTGCGGGCGCACGCTCTTGGAGCCATCAACGAGCAGAACCAGGTCCACGTGGCCTTCCCGGCACCCTACACCTCACCGGAGGAGAAGAGCTGGGAGTGAGGGCGGGCAGCAGCCACTTGCTCATTCATTCATTCATTTGCAAACATTTATTATATAACAGATACTATGTGTGAAGTTCTTCCTATGCCAGGTACTGTGCTAAAATAATAAAAACTAATCATCACATCATTATCATTGGCATCCTTATTATCTTTACCATTTATTAAGTGCTTAGCATGGGGTTTCCCTAGTAGCTCAGTGGTAAAGAATCTGCCTCCAATGCAGGAGCCGCAAGACTCCGGTTTGATCCCTGGGTGGGGAAGATCCCCTGGAGGAAGGCATGGCAACCCACTCCAGTACTCTTGTCTGGAAATCCCACTCCAATATTCTTGCCTGGAAATCCCATGGACAGAGGAGGCTAGTGGGCTACAGTCCACAGGGTCACAAAGAATGGGACACGACTGAAGCGGCTTAGCAAGCAAATGTTTAGCACAGCCAGGCAACCTGCTAAAGGCATCTTTTTCATCATCATAATCACAGTAGCTACTGTTTATGATCATCTACTGTGTTAACCAACAGAATTCTGAGCACTTTGCCTCCCCTGTTCTCAGCCAGAGACCTTGCTAGGCCCCAAGGGAGATTCGACAATAAATGAAACATAATCCTGATCCATAAGGAAACAGGGATGAAGCAGAGTGGTCACATATGCCATCAGTGACCATCAAGGGAAGTGTTTGAATAGAGGGGCAGGCAGGGAGCAAGGTAGGATTCTTCCAAGAGTTGGTGAGGAAGGCCGCATGGAGGTGATGACAAGTGATTTGGTCTTCAGGGATGAGCAGGAGTCCTCCAAGGCAGGAAGGGACATTCTAGATGGTGGGGGCAATGTGTGTAGAGGCATGGAAGCCAGGAGCCCTCGGCACGTTTGGGAATGGGCAGGCCAGTATGGATTAAATGTTTATGGCAGGAGACAGGATGAAGGGGTTAGCTGAAGCAATATTTTAATGACCTAAGGCAGTGGTTTCAAAATTTTGGCCACAACTCACAGTAAAATAATAATAATGCATTATGATGCAGTTATGTGCCATGCCATGCCATGCTAAGTTGCTTTGGTTGTGTCTGACTCTTTGCTACCCTATCAACTGTAGCCCGCCAGGCTCCTCTGTCCACGGGGATTCTCCAGCAAGAATACTGGAGTGGGCTGCCATTCCCTTCCCCAGGGGATCGTCTCAAACCCAAGGATCAAACCTGTGTTTCTTATATCCCCTGCATTGGCAGGTGGGTTATCACTAGCGCCACCTGGTAAGCCCATGATGCCCTTATACTCACGTACAATTAAAGCTGAGTTTCATGAAATAATACTTATTCTTTCTACATACACACAGTAAACTCTATTTTCTCTCTCTTTTTAAAAAAGAATTCTGACTTGTAACCTACTAATTTGATTTTGTTATCCACTATAGTTACACCGACCACTTGTGTAATTCACTATGGTTACACCCACCATTTGAAAAACTCAGAGGTAAGGCATTTGATCTTTATTTTGTAAGCACTGGTGAGCCACAGAAGGCTTTCGAGCAAGGGAGAAATGTGATCAAATAGTGTTTTTGAAATTAACTTTGGCAACAGGGTAGAAAAAGACAAAGAGGTAGAGGCAGGGCATGGCAGACCCTCCAACTCCACCACCACCAACACATACACATTTACACCATACTCATGGGTCACAGCAAAGAAAGAGTGAAGGATGCTCAGAATGAGGCAGGGAGGCAGAGGCAGGCAGAATCACCCCCCTTCCACCTGTAACTCACGGCTGCAGCTCTTGCCATCTGCCTGGAGCTGCCGCCCCTCAGGACACATGCAGCGGTAGGAGAAGCCCTCACTCACACACTGGAACTCACATCCATGGTCCACGCCATTGCAAAGATCCCGGGCTGAAAGAGACAAGTCAGGATGATTCAGGGTGGACTCCACCAGCTGAGATCCCTCGCCCCTCTGCACAAATGGAGAAGACCCCTCCTTACCCTGACAGCTCCTCCCATCAGGCAGCAAGTCATAGCCCTCTCTGCAGCGGCACTGTGGCCCACCAAAAGTGCTAACACAGTCATGCTGGCAGCTGTGGTTCCCAAAGCTGCAGTGGTCAATGGCTGGTGGGAAGGAAGAGACAAAGACATACATCGGTTCTGATTGGAGTCATCAGAGACCTCGGCACAGGGTACCAGCTGGGGGGCTGGCTCACCCCTGCAGCTCCTCTGGTCCTGCTGGAGTACAAAGCCAGCTTGGCACTGACAGAAATAGGAGCCAGGGACGCTGATGCAGTGATGCCCACAGCTATGGTCCCTTTTGGTGCAGAGGTCAAGGGCTGAGGAAAGAGTGAGGTCAGCCTGGGCCCGGGCGCTGCACTTCTCAGCCCTGACAGCACACCTGCTCAGGGGCTTTTTACAAACACCTATGCCTGGGACTTCCCTAGTGGTCCAGCGGTTAAGACTCCACACTCCCAATGTACGGGGCCTGGGTTCAATCCCGGTTGAGGATTTAAGATCCCACACGACACGGGGCATGGCCAAAAAACACAAGTAAATAAAAATACTTATGCCTGGACCCCAATCCCCAAAGATCCTGACTCAGTCTAGGGTGGCATCCAGGCATCTGTGATTTGCCAAGTAGAGGCCTCCTTCCTACTGAGCCAAGCATCCCTCCCAGCTCAAGCCCCAGCATGCCCACTACTAAGCCAGGCATAAGAATGGGACTCCACAGCTGAGACAGGACTTCTGCCTTCAAGATGCTCACTAATTCACAGGGGAGGACCAGGCTCTGCCATTTAATCTGTCTGAGCCTCCATTTCCCCCTCTGCAAAACGGAAATACAATCAATGGAAGAGCGGGTGTGCATGCTAAGTCACTCTGTCATGTCCAACTCTTTGCAATTCTATGGACTTTAGCCCGCCAGACTCCTCTGTTCGTGGGATTCTCCAGGCCAGAATACTGGAGTGGGTTGTCATGCCCTCCTCCAGGGGATCTTCCCAACCCAGGGATCGAACCCATATCTCTTACATCTCCTGCACTGGCAGGCAGATTCTTTACCACTAGCACCACCCGGGAAGCCCTAATGGGAGAGAACAATTGCTATTTACACCCACCTTCTGAAGAGGGTGAACTACTGCCCTGCTGAGTATCTTGATGATTTCAATGTACAGATATGGCCTAGAGCTGAGCTGGGGAATAGGGACTAGAGAAAGATGGGCTGCTCTGTATAAAAGGGTGAGAATGTGGGGTTCCTAGAAAAGAGATGGGGAGTGGAGAGAGGAAACAAAAGAACAAGAGCGATGGTATGGAGATGAGTAACATGGGTTGATCCCTATATGAATTCCCTATAGAGGGGTGACTAAGCACTTTCAGAGTCAAGGGTGCCTAATATTCATTTATAAATAAAGGATGTTTCATTTTCTGTGTGTATGTTTGACTTCACTTAGATGTAAGTCACACCTCTGTCCATCCCCATTATTTAGTAAAATAGACGTATGCACAACATAGACAAGGGCACATACACACATGCCCTTGTGTGCACAAGTGTGTAAACCAGTGAAGAGGCTGATTTACATGCATAGCATGCATGGACTGAGAAATTGAGAGAGGATCTATAAATCAAGTGAATTCAGTAGAAGCTCAGAGTGAGAGGGGACCAGAGAATGTGAACACTTGGAATTCCCAGAGATCTTGAGGAAGGTTTTGAATGTTCCCAGGTCTTCAAATAGGGATTCAAGCCAGGCTTTTCTAAGCCCCCAAAACAAGAAGACCCCAACTGACATCTGGGTTATTGGAAACACAGGACTTCTTTTTCCATAATGTTGTGAGGTTGACAGATGACATATGTAACACTCTTAGTTCAATATCTGATGCTAACTTGGCATTCAGTAAATGGTTTGATTCAGTTCAGTTGCTCAATCATGTCTGACTCTGCGATCCCATCAACAGCAGCACACCAGGCTCCCCTGTCCATCACCATCTCCCGGAGTTTACTCAAACTTGTGTCCATTGAGTTGGTGGTGCCATCCAACCATCTCATCCTCTGTCATCCCCTTCTCCTCCTGCCTTCAATCTTTCCCAGCATCAGGGTCTTTTCCAATGAGTCAGTTCTTCGCATNATCTCATCCTCTGTCATCCCCTTCTCCTCCTGCCTTCAATCTTTCCCAGCATCAGGGTCTTTTCCAATGAGTCAGTTCTTCGAATCAGGTGGCCAAAGTATTGGAGCTTCAGCATCAGTCCTTCCAAAAAATATTCAGGACTGATTTTTTTTTAGGAGTGACTGGTTGGATCTCCTTGCAGTCCAAGGGACTCTCAAGTGTCTTCTCCAACACCCCAGTTTAAAAGCATTAATTCTTTGGTGCTCAGCTTTCCTTATGGTTCAACTCTCACATCCATATATGACTACTGGGATAACCATAGCTTGGACGAGGCGGACCTTTGTTGGCAAAGTAATTTCTCTGCTTTTTAATATGCTGTCTAGGTTTGTCATAGGTTTTCTTCCAAGAAGCAAGCATCTTTTAATGTCATGGCTGCAGTCACCATCTGCAGTGATTTTGGAACCCAAGAAAATAAAGTCTGTCACTAATCCATTCCAGTAAATGGTAGCTGCCATTACAATCAAAGGACAGGACACACATATATTCAGTACATGGAGGGGGGAAATCCCAAATGCATAAGCAAGGTATTGTGTGTCATCACTTTTCAGAAGGCAAAAATGAAGAACCAGGCTTTGAGAGACTGAGGGTGCAGAGAGGCGCAGCAAGAGCAGCCCAGGTGAGAAGCTGGGAAAGAACTGAGATGCAGAAGCAGAAACGAGCAGCATGGGTGCGGAATATAGGGGATGTATGCATGGAAATTCCAATAGTGTCTAAATAACAGAAACAGTAAAGATGCACCTCTGAAAAGACAGGTTTGGGAGGTGTTTTGGAGCCAGCTAAGAGGTGTGCCTGAATGAGGCAGGAGAGAAGATTGCAGAAATTCCACTTAACCGTGGGGTCAAGACTTCTAGCCCTTGTCCCACCATGGGGTTGTGTGACCCCAAGCGATACCTTTTCTTTCCTAGACCTGAAAAGTGAGGGAGCTGGAGTTTGACTTCCAGAGGCCCTGCCAGACTCACTGGACTGATGCTGGGTCAATAGGGAGCCAGAGAAGGTTCAGAAGCAGGGAGAGTGCAGGATGGGGGTAGTGCTCACCCACACAGCTCTTGTTATCTGCTGCTAGCTGGTAGCCAGGGTTGCAGGCACAGTGGAAGGTGCCCGGGGCGCTGACACATTGGTGCTGGCAGCCGTGTCCCCCCTGAGCACACAGGTCCTTTCCTGAGGACGTACAAGAGTAGAATCATCAGCGAACAGACTGGGAGAACACTCCAGCAAGAGAGAGCTGGATGGGGTCAAAGGCAGGCCCCGTGCTCCAGGATGTCTTTAAATGAAATATGACTCGTTTGAGAGGGGCCAATCCAGGGGAGGGCTTAGGGAAAATATATGGCCTGAATGGCCCCCGTGAGTAGGCTCTGAAAACCAGGGTGCATAGCCAGATGGGTCAGGGGGACAAGGAAGGACTCCGCGGAGTTAAGTAGAGGAAGTCAAGAGATCAATTGAAACTGAAAGTCGTGTTCGACTCTTTGCGACCCCATGGACTGGGTCCATGGAATTCTCCAGGCCAGAATACTGGAGTGGGTAGCCTTTCCCTTCTCCAAGGGGTCTTCCCAACTCAGGGCTCAAACCCAGATCTCCCGCATTGCAGGCGGATTCTTTACCACCTGAGCCACAGCGAGGGCAGCAAAGGACAAGGTGTGACAGGAACGCATCTGGCAGCATTGTGGGAGGAGCTAGAACAAGAGTGGGTGGGTCCTGTCCGGGGGGACGGGGCTTGGCTCATCTAGGAGGGCGATGGCGCTCAACCGTCGGGGCTGGTGCTTCTTGTGTAAAGGGGAGGTTTTGGAGTTAGACAAGAAGCCCGTGGAAACCACCATGGCTCTTCAAGATGGATGGGCACGATAAACGCCGCTCCTTGCTGCGGGGAAGCCTTAAGCAAAACTGGGCAGAGCTGGAATTTGACACAGCCCGCAGTGGGCCACTGACTCATTGGAAAAGACCCTGATGCTGAGAAAGATTGAAGGCGGGAGAAGGGGACGACAGAGGATGAGATGGTTGGATGCATCACCGACTCGATGGACACGAGTTTGAGTAAGCTTTGGGAGTTGGTGATGGACAGGGAGGCCTGGCGTGCTGCAGTCCATCGGGTCGCAAAGAGTCGGACAAGACTGAGCTACTGGACCGAACCGCAGTTGCCAGGGCAACGCCGGCCTGGTGGGCGGGGCTAAAGGCGAGTGGGCGGGGCTACTATGGAGGGGATGGGATTTCACTGCGGGGGAGAACCGGACTGGGAGCGGTGCGAGAGTTGGAGACTCCGTCCAGCGCTCCCCTCACTCACGACACAGCCGGCCCTGGAACTGCCGGCCGAACTCCTGGATAAGGTCGAAGGACTCGACGAGGAAGACGTGCTCGTTCAGCGGGGGGGACGCCATGGCGCGCAGGGAGCCCACGTCGGCGCGCTGCACCCCCACGGCGTAGATCTCGATGCCGCGGGCGCGCGCCTGAGCGGCCACCTCTGCCACGCGATCCTGGGGCCGCCCGTCGGTCACGATGACGGCCACGCGAGGCACGCGCGCCTCCGGCGGGCGCGCGCCCTCGGCCACGCTGAAGGCCACATTCATGGCGTACTGGATCGCCAGCCCGGTCATGGTGCCCTGCGCCAGCGGCACTAGAGCGCGGATGGCGCGCTCCATATCCTCGCGGCGCGAGAAGGCTCGGAGCGGGAAGACGCTCTGCACTTGACTCGAATACTGGATCACGCCGACGCGAGTGGCGTTAGGCCCCACGTCCAAGCTGCGGAGAAGGCCTACCAGGAACTGCCGCATAGTCTCGAACTCGAAGGGGCGCACGCTGCGCGAGCTGTCAATCACGAACACCAAATCCAGGGGCCCAGTACTGCACCTGGGACCTGCGAGGAGATGAGGAAAGGCTCTCCTAGGTGAACAAAGCCTCAAGTCCCGGGAGAACCCCCACGGAAACCCAGAGCAGAACACTGCTGTCCTGCGGAACAGCGCCCAGCGCAGAATTAACCTTGCAAATGCAGGTTAGATCCACCCACTCGAACATTATTTGCTGAGGGGCTGAGGAGGGAGACTCCACCCAGTCCCTACCCTGCAGCTCTGAGGGCTAATATCTCTGAGGGGGTATTATCCATTCGGAAGGGGGACAAAGGGATGTAGCAAACTCAAATGTCTCTAGGAGACAGGCAGGCAACGTAAATAAAGGAGGGAATGTATTGGGGTTAGGACGGTGGACATTCAGAGAGCCCGTATGGTTCCTGAAGTGGGCAGCCCCAACCAAATGTTGCCTTGCAGTCGTGAGGACCCCATGTTAGCAGATCTTTAGTCTTTTCATGAGAAGCCCCAAATTGGTTTTTTTAAGTGTGAAATCGCCTAAGTTTTTTTTTTTCTCTTCAGTTAACTTTTAAAAATGAAACGCCAACTGGGCAGTTCTGCCTGAGCCCAACGTAGCTGCCTCCAAGCCACCTCATACAGACTGGGGAACCTGAGGCCCACAGAAACGAAGCTGTGAACTCGAACCCAACCCCTTAGAGTTCCAAAGCTCTTCCTTTTCTCTCCCTGGTGTGCAGTTGGCTGCAGATGGAGAACCCGCTTTTGCTCCCTTCCCCGCCTGCTGGTGAGGGTGGACCCTGGCTCACCTGCGAACTGCAGTTGGGTTTCCCAAGGCTGGAGAAGGAGCAGCAACAGGGGCAGCAGCGAATATAGAAGCCGCCTCATGGCGCTCAGCCAACAGAACGGAGGTGTCGGAGCCTGAAGAGGAAGGAAAATATCAGAGCAAAAGTGTTTACAGAGCTCTTATTCTAGGTGATGGGCATTTGGAGGGGGAGAAGGGTCATGGTTTATTTTACTAATCTCTCTAGTTTCGTGCATGGTGAAAATTTTCATTATAAAAAAATTCATCACAGTGAGTTTGCTGGAAACACAGGGAATTCTGCTTTTCAGAACTGCAGAACAGTAAATAAATAGAAAGTAGATTTGAAAATATACAAAATTTCAAAAGGAAAGGCCTTTCCTCAGTGCCAGGAACGATGATAAATTCTTTTCATGCACTGTGGCATTTATTGAGTCCTCTCAACAATTCTGTGAGTCCAAGGCTGTTGCTGTCCCCAGAGTATAGATGAGGAAAGAGGCCCAGAAACTTCACTGCGTGTACCCGAAGTCGCGTGGCAAGAAAGTGACTCCTCCAGGATATAATCCTAGGCCTATGGGGTTCCAAGGAGCAGCCGCGTGACTCTTTGCAGAGGGAAGCCATCCCCCACCTCGCCCCCTCCCCTTTGCACACAGGCAGCTCTGTGTGACTGTGCTCCCACCCACCACCACCACCCCACCCTTCGCCTCAAACAGGCAGGGCCTCAGTGCAGGCCTGCTGTCGCCTTGGCCGAAACCCACCACGCGGATGAACTTGTCACGTGGTGCCGCCCCTTCCCGCCTGCTCTCAGGAGAGGTCTCCAGGGGGCGCCCTCTTGGGTCTAGCCGTGTTGGCTAGGTGGCCGTGGGAAGCCCACATCTGCCCAGCAGGTGCTCCTGCCCAAAGCAAACAGGGAGCCAGGAGCCCCAGGGCCTTGGAGATAAGGCTGGGGTAGAATATATCCGGCGCTAGAGCCGAGGAGCAGAAGTGCGCACGCAGGGCTCCGGGGACAGTGGCATTGGACGTCCCCGGACTCGGCCATGGACCCCGTGGGGGCAGGTGAGCGCTCACTCTCTCTTGGCCCTTGGCGACGCCCGTTGAGAATCACTAAGGACTCCCATTGTACAGATGGCGAAAAGTGAGGCTCAAGAAGGTGGCCCGCCGAGCTGCAAAGAAACCTAGGACTCCTGGCTCCCGTTCTTCCTTCTGAGCGACCTGGCAACCTGGTCCTTAGGCGTCACCTCTTTTTCTTCCATTCTCTCCCTGGGGTCCCTACTCCACCCCCATCCCCTCGCCCCTTGCTGAAGCTGTGCTAGCCATTTTTCTGTTTCTGTTTCTTGGCAGAGGGGGCCAGCTGCCCCTAATCCAACCGCAGCCCCGCCCCCTCCCCAATTCCGTGAATGGTTTTATTCTGAGAAAGGCCGGGTGCCTGTCGCTCCCTTTAGGCGCCCTCCCTGTCGCGGATCCTCACCTCCTTCGCCTTTCAGGCCTGGTAAAGGAACAAATACCCCTCTGGCAGAACCTGTCGTGGGAAGGCAGCTAAGCCAGACGTGCCAGCCGCTCCTGGAGGTGGGAGGGTGTGGAATGCCTCCTCCAGCGTGGGCCACAGCCCAGCAGGCGAGCCCCCCTGGGCAGCCCGGGCGTACAGGCACAGGGCGCCTTGGCCCCTCCCATCCGTTCCTGTCTGCAGAAGCCTCTGGGCCCCTTAAATCTTGTTTCCCCTTCTCCTGCTCTTGGCCTGATCCAACATCTCGCTTGGCACCCCACCTCCACCCAATCCTAGAAAGTCAAAATAGGGCTTGCGTCCAAGTTCATCATCCTTCCAACTCCTCATTCTAAAGAGGAAGGAGTCAAGACCAGAGACAGTAATGTCTTGCCCAGGTCACACAGCAACGTGGCAAGGTGACAGGGCTGACCCCAGAACCCGGAGCTCCTCGAGGGGGTTAATCCTTGCGTTAAGAAATGCCCTTAGGATGGAGAAAGTGGATTTTCGAGGGAGGAGAGGTTTGTGAGTAATTCCTCAAGAGTTGGTTAAAGAATAAACACTTAGAGGATATTCCGGGGAACGGGTGGCGGGGGAGGGGGGGCGTGCCGGGGGTTCTTAGAGGGAGGAGATTGGGGATAAGGTCCCCCTTCTCCGTTTTGGCGGCCGTGCTCGTGGGGGCTCTATTTGGAGAGGGTTCTGCAGAGGTGGGGAAGGGCGCTGCAGGTCAGACGGGGCACCGTAGGCGGTGCAGCCGCGGCTAAATACGGGCGCCTGGTCTGGCTGGATGCCTGCTCCCCGCAGACCCCTCGGCGCCCCCGGGCCCTTTGACTCACCTGAGCCTGCCGGACAGCTCAGAGGCGCGGCCGCAGAGCGGAGCCGACGGGCGGAGCCTCCCGCGCAGTTGGACCAGGTACCGGCACGGGCAGTGTGCCCGAGGTGGGGACGGCCAGGCAGCTGGAGCGGGCGGAGGCGGCGGCCGCATTTAACCCGGGGGCCGGTGGGTGGGGAGGGGGAACGCGGGCCGCGACCCCTCCCACTGACAGGGAGCGACCCCCTCTTCCTCCGAGGGCTGGGGCGGGGCCAGCGCGACGCCCCCCTGCTCCCGCCACGCCTGGAGCCGCAGACGCGAGCTGCGGGGCGGGAGTCGGGCTCCCGCGGGAGGCTGGGCGGCTACGCTCTCCGCAGCCGGAATGCGTTGGAAGCCTCCGAGGCCCTTCCCCGGGGAGAGCCCCAAGGGGCGGAGCGGGGCCTGGCTCGGCCGCCGGCTTCTTGGCCCTGCTTCCGAGGGCGCGGCCCGGCTCTTGACCCCCGCCACCCCTTCCAGGGGTGGCGAGAGGCCCCGGACTCTGGTCCTGCAAAGAGGGATAAAGGGTTCAGAAGGGCAGCCTGAGGCTTCGTGGCTCTCCCCAGGCCCCACCTGGTGGTGCCTCGGATCCTGCCCTCACGGACGCCTTTCCACGTTCTCTGGAATTACTGAGGTCCTGGGCCCAGCCATCCTCGCCCATCAAAACACTCTGGCGGAGACGCCCCCAGGCCCCTAGGCCCTGACTGGCCCCCTCCACAGGGCCGATGGAGGCCCTGTGTTCAGGGGAAGGAAAGCTGAGACAGCTGAGACAGCCTTCTCTTGGGAGATAGGGGGTTGGGAGTGTTGCTTTAACCCGAAAAATACGAAAATATTCCAAGATCCCAGGCACACAGTTTGGGGGGCCCGTCCATTTTTTTCAGGCATCAGCGGGCGGGCCAGAGAGCACTCTTCCGGTCCGGGGTCCAGCAACCACTCTCCCCTCCTCTCTCTCCGCGCCTCCGCCCCATCCGCATCAGGACTGCCCCGGGGTGGGTCCCTTCAGGGTGCTGGGAAGCCACGTGCCCTCACAAACTCAGCCTCCGCCTCGAGGCCGGCACAAGCGAGGCCTTTGTGGCGCCGGGGCCTCACCCCAGTGCTCCAGGCTGCGGTGGGCGCGGAGCCAGACCTGCGGAGTGGCGCCTGGGCGGTCCCGGTGGTCGCCATGAAGACCTCACTGAGCTCCCCGCCACCCAAAGGGTTCGCCCACAGCTTACACTCGAGTCGCCTCTCCTGCCTGAGGTTTCTTCCCTTTGACCCCGAGGGGGCGGAACTGGGAGGTCCCCTTCCTCCCATTCACTTCACTCAATCTGCCCGCTTGGGTCTCTAAGCTCCCTGCTGCGGGTGCCCGGCCCGCCCCCACCCAGCCCCAGGTCAGCCCCGGAGCCCAGCGCGGTCCTGAGGGAAGGCGTGCGCCGCTGCCTACAGCAGCAGTGCGAGCAGACGGTTCGGATCCTGCACGCCAAGGTGGCCCAGAAATCATACGGAAATGAGAAGAGGTAGGTCCTTCGGTGGCCCCCCAAGGTCCCCAGGACCCGCCTTTAGCCCTGTGGTCCCCCTCCCTGTTTAGAGTGTTTTCGCTTCCCCGGTGGTGCAGGTGGTAAAGAGTCCACCTGTTAAAACAGGAGACACAGAGACATGGGTTCAATCCCTGGGTCGGGAAGATCCCCTGAAGAAGGAAATGGCAACTCACTCCAGTATTTTTTTGTCTAGAAAATTCCATGGACAGAGGAGCCTGGCGGGTTACAGTCTATGGGGTCAAACATGACTGAGTCAGACATGACTGAGCACCCATATGCACGAAGGACCACACACAGAACCTGGAGAGGACTCAGGGCTCCGGTTCTTAGCAAATCAGCGGCCTTTTCCCTCAGTCACCATCATCCCCGCTTTGTTGATCAAAGTCTGTGAATCTACAGTCCCCATTCACTCATTCACCCATTCATTCATTCTTTCATTCCACAACTGGCTAGTGAGTGCTTATCATGCATCAGGCTCTCTGGCACTGCTGGGCACCCAGCACACAGCTGGACAAGACAGATACGATCACTGCCTTTGTGGCATCTTTGCTCTAGTGTGAGAGAGACAGACAATAAACACCTTACAGATAAGTGAAGAAGATGCTCTCAGATGGTGATGAGAGCTAGAAGGGAAACCAAATGGGGCAAGGTGAGAGAAACTGAAGGGCAGGGGTGTATTTAGCTAGCAAGGTCAAGATGGTAGGAAGGCCTTTTAAGGAGGTGACATTCGAACTAAGACTTGAATGTGAAAATGGAGCGGGATGTCAGAAAGTCTGGGGGAAGCATGTTTTAATTAGAAGCAATGACAAATGCAAAGACCTAGACTCGGTACTAACTTGGCCTGTTGGAGGCCAAAAGAAGTCAGACTGGCTGGAATTAGAGAAGGAGAGGGATCATCATAGGAAGTGAAGTTGGAGAAGTAAGCAGGGGCCAGATCATGTAAGCACTTTGAATTTAAACCACTGGAGGATTAAGATAAGCAACATACTCTAAAAAAAGAAAAAAAAAAAAAACCAGTTTGGCTGTTGTGTGAAAAACAGGTCGAAGGAGGGTAGAGCGGAAGCAGAGAGACCAATGGGAGGCTGATGCAGTGGTCCAGGCAAATTGATGGCAGTTGGGGCAAAGACGGAGGTGGTCAGAAGTCAATGGATTCTAAATATGTTTTAAAGGTGGTGGATAGGACTTACTGATGGATTGAGTGAGGAATGTGAAAAAAAGAAAAGAAAGATTCGGGTATTAATGGAGAAACCTGGGGAGATGGAGGAGGAATCAAGGATTCCGTTGGCTTTCTGCTATCTTTGTGATGCCTCAAAGACAGGACACTCAAATGGAGATGGATATACGAGTCCGGCGCTTACATGTCTCTGCAGGTTCTTCTGCCCGCCGCCCTGTGTCTACCTCGCAGGTCCCGGCTGGAGGGTGAAGCCAGTGCCGGGCCAAGGTGAGGGCGGACTCCAGGGCGGCCGGGCGGCTCCGTTTACAAGGGGACCAGCCACTCTGTAGGGCCCGGGAGCGGGGCGGTTCTCAGGCGCAGTCTCGCCGCGCCCTCTGGCGGCGAGAACTAAGCTTGCCTGGCTGACACCTGAGGGCCGCCAAAGCCGGCTCGCATCCCTTTGCAGCCCACCAGTCAGGGGAGACTGGGCCCTTGGTCTGCGGTTACATGGGACTAGACGGCGCGTCCGGCAGCGCCGCCGAGACGCAGAAGTTGAATTTCGAAGAGCAGCCGGACTCCAGGGTGAGAGCGCATGGCAGGAGGGGGGCGGGAGGGGGGCGGTGGGGGTGGGTGAGCTGCGATTCCTTCTCCCAGCCTCACCTCTCCCTTGGAGGGGACCGGGGAGGAGAGGGGACTCCGTCACTCCCCCTGCAGGAGCCAAAAGGTGGTGGGGATGCGGAGAGACCGGGTTTCTGCCTTGAGGCTGAGCTCAAGAACTTGGACGTGTCATGTCACGTCCGATGGGGCGGGCGTCAGATAACTGGGGGAGGTGGGCTCATCCCATGACTTAGGGCTGCGATGAGACGACGCCGTCCCCGCGAACCCGGTAGGAATTCAGTTGCGCCAAGACTCTGTACATCTCGGACGCAGACAAGAGGAAGCACTTCCGACTGGTGTTGCGGCTCATGCTCCGCGGCGGCCGGGAGCTGGGCACCTTCCACAGCCGCCTCATCAAGGTCATCTCCAAGCCCTCGCAGAAGAAACAGTCGCTGAAAAACACCGACCGTGAGCGGGGGCGGGGCCTCGCCGCCGGGCGGGCTTGGGGAGGTGCCCCAGGTCTGCAAGCGGCTTGATTTGGGAAGGGGGAGGGAGAGAGGCCTGGGAGTCTGAGCCGAAAGCGGGGCCGGGTCGGGATGAGTGAGGTTGGGGGTCCCCAAAATAGCTGGCAGGTGCTGAACTAAAGACAAAATATAGTAATAAAAGGGCAGAGGAAATTCAGTTAAAAATATTTGTTCAGTGCCTGATGTGCATTGCAAGTGTCTGTTCTGGAGGAACAGCCTAGCCTAGCAGGGGAGAGACACACAGAGCTGATCAAAGAGACAGTTGGAGATAAGTACTGCCCTGGATGCCAAGTGATAAACCCCGGGGCTAATGGGTTTGAAAATGCAGGGGGAAAAAAGCCTGAATGACAATAACACCATCACCCTCCCTGGAAGATGGAAGGGAGAAGCTGGGGAAACGGGGCCTTTCTTGGCGGGCATGTACATTCATCACCCTGTTTGATGCTCATCCTTGTAAGGTGAGTGGTAGGTGAGGAAAATGAGATGCAGAACATCCATCCATTTGTTTAAGAAATGTTCGGGCCTTGGACTTCCCTGGCAACCCAGTGGTTAAGAGTCTGTGGTTCCACTGTAGGGGACTCAGGCTTGATCCCTGGTTGGTGAACCCTAAGATCCTGTATGCCACTTAGGGAGACCAGAAAAAAGGAAAAGAAAAATGAAAAAAAAAAAAAAGAAATATTGGGGCCCATCACCTTCCAAATGACTTGCTTAGGCTTGCCCAGCTAGAAAAGTGGTCCAGCCAGCATTTGAACTTGAGTTGATGTGACTCAAGCCCACTCCCACCCCTCACCTTATTTACTTTCTGTTAAAAACACTGAAGGATGTCTAAGATTCAGGTAGTGCTCTGGCTGGCCGCTGGTGTGAGGACAGGGCCAGGGAATGGTAAGGTGATACAATGTGACGGGTTTAAGTGCAGATTCTGGGACGAGGTGGCCTGGGTTTGAATTCTGGCTCTGCTGCTGGCTAGCTGTGTGATCTTGAGGGAGTTGTTCTCTTGAGTAAAGATAATATTATCTACTGCAGAGGGTTGTTGAGAAGCAAAAGAGCTAACTCATGTTCAGCATTTAAAACAGTACCTGAAAAACAATAAACGTTCAGTTCAGTTCAGTTCAGTTGCTCAGTCATGTCCGACTATTTGTGACCCCATGAACTGCAGTACACCAGGCCTCCCTGTCCATCACCAACTCCTGGAATCTACCTAAACCCATGTCCATGGAGTCGGTGATGCCATCCAGCCATCTCACCCTCTGTCTT